GGCTCTATGGGCAACAGTATATCTAGTAGTGTTTTTCAACAGATGAAATTAGTTTCGAGTAGATAAGTTAAAGGTTTGCAAAGATGTAATAGTTTAATACTATTCAATGAATTGACCAAACTCTCTATAAGGATTATATCGGTTAAGAGGATAACAAAGAGGACAAGATAAATCAGTATAATTTAATTGTAAACTAGAATAAAGTAAAGAAGTAGTTTGTTGATATGCTTGTTTATGTAAAGCTATTTGATTATTATGAAACTCAATTATAGTAGACATATACTATAATATATTTCAACCTTATTGCCAGAATTAAGACTGGAATCTAATTTACTGTTTCTTTTAAGATTGCTAGCAATAATTATTCAATAAAAACAATAATTCTATTCAGAATATACACAGCTGAGAATGTCATATCCAGAAATTACACACAGCTGGAAATATTACATTTAGAAAATACATATAGCTAGAAATGTTACATCTAGAAAATATATACAGCTAGGAATGTTATATTCAAAAATACAATATAGCTGAGAATGTTACGTCAAGAAAATACATATAGCTGGGAATATTATGTTCAGAAAATACACACAGCTAGAAATGTTATATCCAGAAAATATATACAGCTGGGAATATAACATCCAGAAAATATACTAATTTACTGGTTATAAACTAAAGATTTTAACAAGAAGAGTTTACCTTAATACTAAAATATCTGTTACTAATTTTTATATTTCCACTAGGAGGCACCAAGATGTTATAGCATACTTAAATTATAAGACAAAATTTACAGATATAAAATAGTTTATTTAGTAATAAGGTAGTACAGATAAGTTATACAGGTAATACAAATAGTACAGGTAATACAGATAATACAATTTATATTAAAAGAGTGAGCACAAATATTAGATGGCCAATCCAATATCCAAGAGAAGGTAGAAATTGTAGGGGAAGATATCTCTAGGAACTAAGAGGGAAAACCTCTCTTTATATATCTGTAGAAGTAGCATACACTGGCATACATCCAAGTGATATATACTGGCATATACCATATGGCAGGTGACATACAACTATATGGCAGGTGACATATACTGATATACAGTATAACCATATAGCAGGTGACATATACTAGTATACAGCATACACTGACATACAGTATACACTGGCATATGACATACAGTAGCATACGGTATACAATGGCGTACAGTATACAGTAGCATATGATACACACTAGTATACAGCATATAGTGGCATACACTTCTAACTATTCTATTCAAATAAAATATATCTAAATAATATAATTTAAGTAGAAAATCGCAGATAAAGGGTATAAATTTCATATGATTATACGGCAGCGATCAATTATAACCAACTCTCAACATGTTGTTTTGACTATATAATAAACTAATACTACTTTCAAAAAAAAAAACTATTTAATTTCAAAATTCAATAGTATATAACCATTAGAATCAGTGATTTAGATAAAAATATTCCTTACCGCACAGGCCAAAGACTTTACTTTGTAAGACGCGCAGATTCGGGTCAGAATATTTTAGGTTCTCTAATAATTTTGCTATTAATTATTTAAAAAATATATTTCTTTTTTGGATTTATTCAACTAGACACACAAATACGCCCAAATTACTTAGCACTATAATAAAAATAGAGGTAAATTTTTTATTTTGGTAACTTCGAATTCATTTTTATACTATATATAACATTTCTTTTACCAAATATCGTTAAGCCATGCAAACAAATTAGATTTTCGTGTAGAAGAGCTTTTACTGTACTGTTGTCATGCTTGATATTAGCATCTGCTTGGAGTTGCAACTTCAAGCACCTGAAGTTGCACTTACCTAACTTACTAACTAATGCATGCTAGAGGATCTAATTTCAAGCACTAATTTCAGTCAATACAATTCCAAGTGCTTGAAGTTACAACTTCATGCAAACGCTAATCTCAAATGCGACATAATATAACTTGGATTATTATGATCGAAAAAGGCACACATATAAGGATCTTGTAAAAAAACAGTGAATTACGAAAATTAAAGAAATTTGTTATTAGAGTAAATCAGAATATCACTTTTTAGCTAAGTAGTCTACAAATACTATTTTGCTTTTTAGTTAATCTTGAATGTAATTATTTGCACTATTTTATTTACAACGATTTATACTGCAGTTAATTAGTCAGGCATATATATATATATAATATTCATCATAATAGCATTCACCATAGAGAACTCTCGATATAGTGAAAATTTTCAATTACATTGTTGGGCATCCGGTAATTTGAATTTGAATTAGACATAAGTTTTAATTAGAATTTATAAGTTCAATGTTTCAGCTTATAAGTTCAAACAAAATTGGTTGGTCGAGAGTAACTTGTATTGAGGGAAGCTATGTTATTAGTATAGGATTAGCAAAGCATACATTAATATGGTGTACATTTATGAGAAATTTGATGTATATCTATTTCGTAATATAAATAAAGCTTATTTCATGAATGAAACCTCAGAATGCTCCCAATTTATTTATTTGATTTCAAATTTATAATTATAAATCAAATATTATATTTATATGAATTTAACTAACCATAACCGTGGTGATTATCACCGGTGTGTAATTAGCCAATAACGATAAAACTAAATAAAAATTCATTTCCTCTACTTTAGGGTTAGTGCGAGGTCTGGGATTTTAGCAAGATGTTAGATATATGCAAAATATATTGGCATTTTTTGAAAAAAAAAATCTTTATTTTTGTTACACAAACTAATTTACACATTACACCTGATTCTGCAAATTGATTGGCTAATTACACACACCGGTGATAATCACCGCGGTTATGGTTAGCAAAATTCATATTTATATGTCTTACTTTAGATTATTTATTATGATAATAAATTTAACTAACAACAATTTTATTCTTTTAGAATCAGTGTTGGCCTATGACCTGTTATAACCTATTTGCTAATTATAGGTTATGACCATATGACCTATTATGACTTATAAAATTTACTATTTTATTATGACCGCCTTGGTCATAGTTAGATATGATCTAAAATGACCAACACTGGTTAGAATATGATAAATGAATGCCTTATATTAATCCTCCCTAACCTATTTTTAAAATAAAATAAAGTTGTGAAATTTGATATTAGAATAAGACAAAAATGCCACTATATTTACCTAAATTTCGTCATTTGATGAAGAGCCCGTTGCTTTAAAAGTTTCAAGTTCAATGACTGTTCCTCTCTGGTTAAATTCCTTCGAGTATCGTCCAATCCAATTTTGGATTGTGTCAATTTTGGGCACATGATCCTCTTTGATTTCTCCAGAATGTGCAAACCTTAATAATTCCTCGTGTATTCCTTTGGCGGTTAATTTGTCCTTGGGGTTTAGGTTATCATTCAGAAAAAATTGTTTTAGAATATTAACAACCTTGGTTTTAATTTTTTTTCCACCACCTTTTTTGCCAAATTTTGTATTTCCCGGAAGTGCCCACCCTTTGGGCAACTGGAATTCATCCTCCATATTCCTAAAACACTCATGCTAGTTATATTCAAATAAATAAATAATAAAAATAATAATTAGTTAACTAATTGGTTTACTTTTGTACAATTTTTTAGAAAGCAGAGTCAGAAAGGATAAACAAAACGCATTCATTTATCTTCAACAATCTGCTGAAATAGAAAATTCTAGTGGAATTGAAGTTGAAAGGAATGAACAAAATGCATTCATTCATCATCAAAAATCAGCTGTGATGGGTAATCAAGACACTATCTCAAACTGGTTGAAAAAAAAGACTATTATTTTACTTTGTACAATTTATTTAGAAATTGGTGCTGAAAAGGATAAAAAAAAATCTGTTGAA